TATTTCAATTGCTTCTTCTCAATCTATGGTGAAGGGCCAGGTTTTGTTTTTTCTATATGCTACAAAACAGTACCTTTGTAATATACAGCAAAAGTGAATTGATATAAAATGAAATACCAGAAGCATGGTGAAGCAGCGTCTGAGTTCTGTACATGTATCTAAGGGCTCACTCCCCATTTCTGTACTCACTGTGCAATAGACTGGTGAGAAATAGTTGGCCCATTGCCTAATCTGAGTAGCCCCAATGAAATTTCATCATTGTGACAATTTATGTAGCGATTCTCCTGAGTAAAATAAGATCCACCCATAATGCAGCTGGGCAGATTGGCAGACTCCATCAGAGAAGTACAATGTCTTTCAACACATTTAAACACACTTGTTATCTAATAGTCCTTGGGTCCCTGTGTTACAGGAGAGCATCCAGCCCTAGCAGATCTGGGGCTGCAGACTCAGAAACATCCTCTATAGAGGGAACTGAAGGCCAAAGCTCACATGGCCTCTTAGTGGTCACGCGGTGGTTAAGGGGGCTGTAGATCCCTGCATCCTGGTTGTCTTCAATGCACAGCTCCCCAGCGCTGCCCAAACACCCCTGCAGGCCACAGAGACCTGCTCCTTGCCTTCTGTTCTCACTCTCTTCTTCCCAACTGCTCTAGAGAGCTTGGGATTACTAAGTGCTGAGAGAGTGGGTTTGGAGGAGGACTGAATAATGGTCTTGGGTTTCCTTGAGCTACACCAGCAGCGAGTTTTCTTATTAAGAGGCCATGATAAGCACAGCCACCTGAGGATGAGCACAAAGAAGGGGACTGGGACAGTGAGGGGGCCAGGAGCCATGTCATGTAACCATTTGAAGATGTTTGGATAAGAAAATTTTCACAAGGACCACAGGCCTATGACATGCACTTCAAGTATCAGAAGCCATGTTCCATGGAAAATGGCGCATAATTATTCCATATGGTTTCTAAGCCATGGCTGGTACCGGAGTGTTTCAATCACAGGAGGCAGTGTTGAACTGAGTAACAGGCAAGGCCTTTTCTTATGAGAATGTTCCTTCCAGGGGAGTAATTCTCTACAGGTGAGTGAGCTCCCCATCACCTGAGGCATGCACACGGAGGCTATAGCCAGGGATATGGCAAATGGTGGAGAAGGTGGCCTTGATGGTCTTGGGGTTGAGTACTACACAGCCCAACTTTATGCTTATATCTTATTCCAAGTCATTTTAGGGAACCACATGGTGAGTGTTTCTATCCTCTAAACAGGCATTTATTGGGCATGTCTCCCTTTGCCAGCCTCTCTGCTATTCACTAGCGACGCTGGCAGCAATGGAGGCATATTCCTCACCATTGAAGGGCCGCCACTTTATTGGGGGAGTCATTTTCAAACCTAAGACATTCTGAGCTGTGGTTTTAGTGGCAGACAGTGGCAGGAGACCCGAGAAGCAGAGATTGATTCTGTCTCGAGAAAACAAGGCAAGTTAGTAGAGCAGGCCTGATTTGAGCAGGCACCAGGCAGCACGCTGAGAGGTAGAGATGCAGTCTGCATCAGTCAGAGGGTCCTGGCAGGAACCAGATGGCACATTCAAACAGAATAATTCAGGAGAGTTGAAGGAGGAGCTATTTTGAAGGAGAGGCTATTTACAACAGTATCGGTTACTTACAACAGTGTAGGACAACCAACAAGGCCAGGGCTGTAACATTGGGGAGCTATTTCCATCCTTGGCCTGGAGGGTTAGGAGGAGGAGCAGCTCTGGAACCTAAAGAGAGTGGCTGAGTGGAGAAGGCTTTCTGGCAGCAGCTGTGACTCTGGGTAGAGAGGAGTGCCAGCCTGCTGCACTCTGGCCAGAAGGGCATCGGAATACAGCTCAGAAATCAGGCATTCTTCATGTTGTTTTCCTGTGCCTTCCAGTCTCCAGCCAGTGCTTTCCGTTGGGGAACCAGACTGGGGATCACAAGGCAAAGGAATCTGTTTATGCAACTGAGAGAGGCCAGCCTCGCAAGGGCGCAGGGCAAGGTGGAGAGGTAGGGGAGAGGATGTGGATGAGTGGACAGAACACGTCCAGAACACAGGGAAGGCCAGCCCATGCGGAAGGTACAGCATAAGCAAGGGGGAGGGGAGAAGTTGATGAGGAAGGACTTGGAGAATAAGAAGTCATGCAGTGTGGCTCAGGTCCAGGCCATAAGCAGAGAAGGGCTCTTCTCGGGGA